GTTTAATGTATAGTAATAGTGTAACTATAATATTATATACATGTATACAAGTTAGTGTATATAATTATTATTAATACGTGTATCAAATTAGTGATATATATTATAATACGTGTATCAAATTAGTGATATAATATTATAATACGTGTATCAAATTAGTGATATAATATTATAATACGTGTATCAAATTAGTGATATAATATTATAATACGTGTATCAAATTAGTGATATAATATTATAATACGTGTATCAAATTAGTGATATAATATTATAATACGTGTATCAAATTAGTGATATAATATTATAATACATATTTCTTTTTCGCATTAACAATAAATGTAAAATTAAGTGTGGCGTTTACCATGCTTTAGTAATTGTTACTTGGACATCGGCCTAAACAAGTGAATATTTTACCACAGAGCAGCCACAAGTACTATTGGTTAGCATATTTCATATGCCTGATTTATTTTATATTATTTCTAATTTGATTTTATGTTTGTTACTTCATCATAATTATTATCGTACTTTGTTAGCTTGGTATATGAAATTAAGACAAGCTACATCTCCGGGGCTGGCCGAACCTCGTGAGATATTATTGGGTGATGAAGAAATACATCTTAATCATTATAAATAATATAGTTTAATATTAAAAGTAAAGTCATTTGAACAGTACATTTAATTAGCCTTGCGCATTTATAGGTGTATATGTTTAGTTCTGATCTATTTAGATAACTTGCTTTGACGAGAAATTAATGTTAGTGAATTGCATTAGTAAGTGGCCTAAATTTATACCTTCCACAAAGCTATCCATTATAATTCAAATTAAGCGCAAACTTCTGGGCGACCATTATTAAAAATAACTTTGTAAAAAATCTGTGAAAAGTCGATTTAATATGTTTTTTAGCCCTTCGGATAGGACAGCTGAAGACCTAGAATTAATCTATGACGAATTGCTACACATCAAAGCACTCTCTCATCTCTCCAACAGCGTTAAAAGAGAACTTGCAAGTGTGTTGTATTTTGAGTCGCATGCAATGGCCGGCACCGTATGTGAGTTTATTTTTAATTAACGTAAATCATTCCTGGTTTTTACTCTGATTCAATATTCTAAAAAACAAATGTTTTTTGTAATAAAAATGTTGTATGAATTGGAATAACGTTATCAAATGTATTCTTTGGTTAATATTGCTTGTTAAGAATATGAGAATGTAAGGACGAACAGTAATTTTCCTATATCTGTTAATATATTATTTATTTTATTTTTATAATTCTGAGGAAGTGAAAAATTAAACCTAAGTCGTTGCTTTTAATCCCCAAAAAGATTTCCAACTTTATGGTACAGCAATTGTCTTAACATTTCTGTGATCAACATATTAGTTGATAAAGTTAGGAGATTATGTTATTATATCAACAATCTCGTCTCTATTTATGTTCCAAAACAATATTTTAAAAAAGTACACGATCGTATATCTATCATTTCCTTATACTTATCCACACTTCTTGATCAATCAGCACCAAACTTGACATAATGATATAGGATGGCATGAGGAAGGTCATGAAGGAGTGGGGTTGGACTCTTCATCTTCTATTTAAATATACGTCAATATAATGTGTATCTGTTCCTTATACTTATCCACACTTCTTGATCAATCAGCACCAAACTTGACATAATGATATAGGATGGCATGAGAAAGGTCATGAAGGAGTGGGGTTGGACTCTTCATCTTCTATTTAAATATACGTCAATATAATGTGTATCTGTTCCTTATACGTATCCATATTTCTTTATTAATCGGCACCAAACTCGGCACGGATATAGGATAACATGAAGAAAATCATGAGGGGTTGGTGGACCTTATCTGATTTAATATTATTAGAATTCTTGAAAACAGTATGTCTTTCTTTTCAGTATTGCCCCCACCCCAGTTTCACAGTGGTATGTCTGCGGATTTACAACTCTAGAAACCGGGTTTCGATACCCGTGGTGGGCAGAGCACAGATAGCCCTTTATGTAGCTTTGGGCTTAACTACAGACAAACAAGCCTTTCAGTATTGGTACCTTTATGCATTCTTATTGCACTTTAATGATTATTATGTTAAAAAAATAGAAGCACATTTTGTTACATTTTATTTCACTTGTCCAACGGAGAGGTACTCCAGCTAGATCTACATAAATTGTTTAGGGCCACCATTGGGCTCCCAAGTGGAACAGCGATATGTCTGCCAACGCTAGAACCCTGGTTTCGATACACCTGGTGAGCAGAGCACAGATAGCCCATTACACAGTTTTGTGCTTAAACTACAAACAAACTAGCAACCATTGAACTCTATAGTGAATTACAAATAACATAACATAGCAAATAATCAAGATAGCCCATTACACAGATAGCCCATTACAGATAGCCCATTACACAGTTTTGTGCTTAAACTACAAACAAACTAGCAACCATTGAACTATATAGTGAATTACAAATAACATAACATAGCAAATAATCAAGATTGAACAGCAGCTTCATAAGAAAGACGTAGACACAAAATGTTTAATGAACTAATCATCATTAGCGTTCTAGTCAGAACAATTAATAGTTAAAGCGACATGAATAGTACTTTACACGTCACATCTGTTTAGGGAATTCACACTTAGTTTTCCTCTACCTTTTGAAACAAAAATGTAACTCCTTTTTTACATTAACAATTATTTTATGATGTTTAATACTTTCTGTAGTAGAAAATAAAACCATTACATGGAAAATAGATAATACAATTATATAACGACCACTTGATTTCGAATGTATTATCTTATAGCACGAAAGAAATATAAAAATTGTCATAATTAAACCGTTACATCCAGTGGCTCAACTGTAAGTCTGAAGGTTTATAACACTAAAAAATTGGGTTTCGAAACCTATGTTGGACACAACACAGATAGCCCATAAAGTACCTTTGTGCTTAACAATAAAGAAACTGTTGTTCAATTTTTGAAAACTCATCTATTGGTTTTGTCAAAACTATTATTCCATGATTTACTATGTTGTTTTCTTTATGGCAAACTAAAAAAAAAATGTTGATTAACCTGATATGTCACTTATGTAAGATCACCTGTAACCAACAGCAAAAATAGGGAACGTTAGATTGTAGTTAATCCTGATTCTAATATCTTTGAGAAATTATTTAAAATCATAGATTTTAGTACTGGCTGAAATATTGAGTTCATTGGATAAACACGTGTATTTTAATAACAATTTCTTTATAAATGTTAAGGTAAAGGCTATCTTTCGTGTATACTCCGATATAATATTTTATAGAATCCTGTCGTATCGTATAAAATCATAGATATAAATGTGAGTGTATTTATATAAAAACGTTTGAATGTGTGTATACTCCGATATAATATAGTATACTCCGATATAATATTTTATAGAATCCTGTCGTATCGTATAAAATCATCGGTATAAATGTGAGTGTATATATATAAAAACGTTTGTATGTGTGTGTGTATGTGTATATACACACACATGACGTACATATGAATACAAACTTATAGTAATGGTATTATGAGAAATTATGTACATACTTACATATATGTTTATGTATGCGTTTGTTCATGCTAGTGTATGTAATCAATCTACAACTTAAGCGTCCACCGTGTATTTTTTGTGCTCAGTGTTCCATCAAGGAGATGAAGGGAAGTCCTGGTATATAATCTTAAAAGGATGTGTGAACGTTGTAATTTACGGAAAGGTAGGCCAAACGTGTTACTTTGTAATTCATTATCTTAACGAATAATAAATATTGTCTGTAATATACTACTCTTAGTTGTAACTAAATTGCTATCCTGTTGTAACAACTTCAGGAGGCTTTTAATTGAAATATTTATTTCATTCTCTAAATATGTATTTCATTTGCATAATTGTTTTATTCTCCCTCAGTTTTGTATTCCATTTTATTTTCAAAACAAGAGATTCATAAACCATTAATAAATAATTATTAATAATACATATTAGTACAGAAAATCTTAGTAACCTAAAAGAGAAGATACTAACTTTTGATTTTACACTTCAATTCATAAAATGTCTAAACACGTTTCTTAGTTTTACTGCGTTGAGAACAGTCTCATTCTTCGATTTCTTCAAAAGAAACATTTATTGGAAATATCATAATATATATATATATATATTTAATATTTTAGGGTGAAGTTTGCACGTTACAAGAAGGGGATGATTTTGGAAAACTTGCATTGGTAAATGATGCTCCCAGGTAAAAATATACCATTCTATTGTAAGAGGCTTAAAAAGTTCTTATTCATAAGTTCGTGCAAAGCAACACAAGAGCTGTCGGTGTTAGCCATCCATACTTTTCAACCAATAGGTAGTAAGACAGCTAGTTAACAGCACCTATCACAAATTCGTAGGATACTTTAATTGAATAGAGGAACTTGCCCATTACTATTATAATGAACTCACGGCTGAGCGCGTTTCTGAGGCAACGTGACACGAACCATGGATTTACAGTTTCATAGTCTGGAACGTTAAGCACTAGAACACGCTCAGCCTCTCATCTTCTGATAGTCAAGGAATGGATAGCTGAATTAAAATGCTTTTAATCAGTTATTGTGAAATTTAATGTGATTTATCTCGACTCTTAAATTTGAATATTTTTAAATGAAAGCTTTCTCAAATGAATAAAAATCATTTTCAATAACTTGAAGCTTCACTCTACTTTAAACAAGAAGGCATTCTCAATCCTTGAAACAGTGTCGTCAGGGTGTAAAACATTAAGTCTGATAGAACTATTATAAGATAGTATCTTCACCAAAACCCACTTGACACAGTGTCATCAGAGTGTAAAACATTAAAGGTAATAGAACTTGTATAAGATGGTATCATCACCATAACCCACTTGACACAGTGTCATCAGGGTGTAAAACATTAAGGCCGATAAAAATATTATAAGATAGTATCATCACTATAACCAACTTGACACAGTGTAATCAGGGTGTAAAATATTAAGGCTGATATAACTATTATTAGATAGTATCATCACCAAAACCCACTTGTGACAGTGTAATCAGGGTGTAAAATATTAAGGCTGATATAACTATTATTAGATAGTATCATCACCAAAACCCACTTGTGACAGTGTAATCAGGGTGTAAAA